AGAGGTTTGTTGAATGGGGCAGTGATAATTGTGGTAAATCTTCTCCGGCTTGAGGAAGCTCGTGCAAACTCCAAGGGTTTGGTTTTGAGAGATCTTTCCAATACGTCGACAGGTATGTGTATAGGCTTTCTTTCTTCGGTGTCGGTTGTTGTGATGGTGATGATGGTATAGCTCCAAAGTGGTGCTTCAGTGACGGTGTGATGAGTTTATGAAGTGAGAAGATGCTTCTGCTTACTAAGAGAAAACATAATACATCAATAATGTCAAGATGTAGCAAAATTATTCTTAGAACGTAAGTTGGTAGTAATATTAACATTGTGTAGTTGGATTAGTTAGGCTCTGACAATACAAAATACAATCAAATTCGTAGTGCGCTCTCTCGAGGGCGTTGCTGCTGTTTTGTTGCCAATTTCTTTTCTTTTTTTCATTGATTAGTTGTATTTTTATTTTTTAAGTTTTAAGCGCGTTTTGTGTTTTTGAGGCATGAAAGCACAAAGGCAAAGCAATCACTTCCATTTGTCATCCAACACAACACACACAGACGCACAACAAAAATGACATCTCTATCTCTGTATACTATAATAATACTTCTCATAATGCTCATTGCCCCTCAAGCTATCAGCAGTAAGAAAATCAGTGCTGCTCTCAATATTATCCTTCCGGGACATGTAGCGGTGGACACACATCAGTGGATTTGTGCACCATTTGCCAAATCACCATCAAAAATGGACACATCAATACCAGGAGTTTATATTTTCTTCCAATCCTTCCAACAAAAGGGAAATACACATCTTGTTCCAGCATATATTGGGAGCTCAACTTATAGCATATACGATAGGATAACGACACATCAGAGAAAAAAGATTTTTATAGATAATACTATAGGATGGTGCCTCTTCCCTCTCAAACCAAAGGTGGGAGATCATAGGTACGACGTAGTGGATATAGAGAGCAAGTTACTCTCAATATGTATGACCATAATCAACAGTCCTCTAGTGTTTGCCTTTGTCAAGAACAATCTACGACATCGGCAAATTGACAACTTCCATTTGGCCATTGAAGCGTTCCAGCAAATAACATTGGAGTACACCAGGAATATTTACCGGCACTGTCTCCACCCTGGCGATAAAAAGAAAAATGATAAATAAATAGTTAATTGTGGATTCATGGCAATATGAATTTATTCAAATATTATTTATTAATTTATTATCAATTCATTCCATTCCACCAAGGCGTTGCGGATTACATCATCTTTATCAGAGACATACCTCTCTGTGTGATAGAGGTCAAGCATCAGCAGTTCGACAAAGGATCTCGACAGGTCATTGGAAGCGCACATCACATCTTTTTGTCTCGTGGTCGAGACATCAAGGCTGTCTATGGTATCTTGACCGATGGCATCACGTGGCAATTCCAACAAGTACTCCCGGACGGTGTTGTCAATGTCACGACGCTTGTGCACCCCGTCAAGGTTCAGTTTAGGTGGACCAGTGACATGATCAAAGATACCATTGCCAGAGTGTGTGCCCTGTTGGACATGATCGAGAAGGACATCATCGTGAAGCCCACGACAACAACCAACCAATCAACACAATAAATAGACTCATTCGTATAACGTATACAACGTAGCCCTCTTAATCAACGATGGAATAGTTGTCCTATATACACAACAAACCTGTCCTTTTTATCTAGGTGGTCCGTCCACATTATTGTCTCAGGCCTGATAGTGGTAACCCACCTGTCTTTATGGTGGTATGACAATGTTTGTGATTGCTGTACAAGCTGGCTCTTTTGTTCCCTTTTAAGTTGCTCTTATATATAAGAGGTTTATTAATCAGCGCCCGTCTGCCTGAACGTAAGGACTAAAGGTTAATTGTTCCGAATCGGTTCAATCAAGAGGATACTGTTTGGCAGATTTGTCAATGATTGATGCACACTGTGCAATTATCCGCGCCTACTTTTAAATTTATTCGGCTTCTTGGGTACAATCCTCGCTCTTGCTGCCTTCAGTCTATTTGTGAAACTGTTTCCAAAAAACCTTTGTGTGGAACGGTCGTACAGTAGTTCGCTCATATTTTCCAGACAACTGCATTTGATCATCTCCTTGCATCTGGCGCATGCAGCGGTTACTTTCGTGCCCGCACATCCTGGTGGGTTCTCCTTGTTGCCATTATTATTATTGTTATTGTTATCATCGTCATCATCGTCATCATCGTCATCATCATTCTCGTCATCGGCATCGTCATATTCATCTAACTCTTTAGTCTCCTTCATCTCTATGTCTTCATGTGACCGGTGTCCCAGAGATTTCTTAAGTTGCGCGATGGAATCAATGCCAACCGGAGTAGTGTGGTCGGCTACAGGCTTAAATCTGGGAGCCGCTGTAAAAGTAATTGGTGTCGCATCCGTAGTTTGAGGAGATTCGTCATACTGTATAAACCATTTTTCAAATGCGTCGAGGAGGCTGACGGGGTTCGTATCGAATTCAAAGACATCGACTCCACCATGTAGAGGACTGTTGATAATGGTCATACATATTGAGAGTAGCTTGCTCTCCATATCCACTACATCGTACCTATGATCTCCCACCTTTGGTTTGAGAGGGAAAAAACAATTGTAAATCTGTTGGGCCATCCTCACTTTTACACCAGGAGACTATTTCTCATCTTTCAAAGATGAATACTCTTTTGCACTTAATCATCAAGATTAAGCCGAGAAAGTGTCTCAAAGGAATAGATGGTGGGATGCCATTCTCTATTTTGTATTCATTGCTCAAGTTTATTCCAACAATCACTCTACAATTCTGCTTTGAGTATAGTGATGGCCTTGACTTTGAAATCATTTGGAGACTGGTCGACGACAAAACAGCACTACTAGTCCCTATATCGGATGCAGATGATAATGGAATTGTACTATTTTGGAAGTTTGCAACAAAACCAATACACAAGTCTCAGGTAGCCACATTTAAGACTTCAACTGCGCCACAAGCCGAGCGCAACCCCTTGCGTATTCTTACTCCTCCGAACGATGATGTGGCTCAACTCAGAGAGTTCCTGAAGGGGAAAACGATAATGCAGATGTCCAGGCTTACAAAGGACAAGCTAAGCCAATATCTATCAATATTTGGTATACCAACAACCTCAGACACACGATTGACTAATCTAAAGTTGGCAAAAGTACTATCCAAGGCATTAAGTGATCATAAAAATCAACAAACAACAAATCCATGACCAATAATAAATACTGGTAGTTGGCGGGATGTGCAAGCTCTTTCGGAGCCGTCAAACTACGTTTCCAACAAACGGGTGGCAAGTTTGACAACGTCATGGATTATAGATTATACGAAAGATAAGCTTCAAATCAAAGCGACAGGTATTGTCCTCCTGATTCAAGTTCGTGACAAAGTTTTGAATTTTGAATTATGAAGTTTGAAAGTTCACTTTTGGAAGGATAGAATGGAAATAATTTTATTTATTTATTTTTATTAGGCACAAAATAAAATATTATTAATTTATTTATTTAAATATGAAATATATTTTGTCTGAATAAATAACAAACTGAGTTTGCAAAAAAGAATCACTTTTTAAAGTTGGGTTGGTATTGAAAAAGTTTGGTGGACATGGCGTTCAGGTGACGACATCTTAATGAGGCAAATCAATCATACATGATTGAGCATTATTGTAAAATGGACATCCATACATTATTGGATGTATGAAATTCAAAATTAATTAAAAGAAAATTAAGAAGTACGTATGATTTAAATGTTATCTCGATCGATCAATCCCTGACAAAGAAGGGTTTATTACACACTTGTTGTTTACAACTAAACTAACTAACTGACTAACCTGTTTAGTGGGCAAGGGTGGCAGAGAATCTCTTGTTGGCCTTCTTGGTGTTCTTGGAGTCGGTGCACAGACCAACATCCTTGCAGACAACGAGTGGGCTCATGCCAGAGTTGAGACGGTCAAAGATGGCTGGTCCGTAGAGGTTGACGATGTGCTCGCACTCGCCCTTGAAGAAGCCCTGGGTGGCACAGTCGGCCAACAAGTCGTCGAGGATCTGGGTCTCGTTGACCTTGTGCTTGATGGAGGCGTCGATCTTGCCGACCATGACCTCACAGAGCATGCAGTCTGGGGTGATCTTGCCGACCTTCTTGGAGGCAGACTTGGCAGACTTGGTGCACTTGGTGGCGGTGGCGGTCATGTTGGCGCTGCACATACCGGCCTCGTGGCAGACAACGAGGGGGTCCTCGTCGCGCTGGAGCTTCTGGATGATCTTCTCGCCGTATGAGGCAACGATGTAGTCGCAGAGCTTGTCGGTTGGGCTGCCAAAGATGGAGGCGCAGTCCTTCTCAAGACGGCTGATGATCTCAGTCTCGTTGAGCTTCAGGTGGAAGTAGCTCTCGGCGCGGTTGACGATGAGGCTGCACACGGTGCACTCGATCTCACCTCCGACCTTCTTGGCAGCAGCGAGCTGCTTCATGATGGAAGCGGTGGAGTTGCGGCACATGTGGATGTCGGTGCAGACGTCGATTGGGTTGCCGTCGGCCTCGATCTTGGCGATGATCTTTGGTCCGTAGAGGGTGACCATGATCTTGCACTCCTCAGACTCCTTTCCGGCGTACTCCTTGCAGTCGGCCTTCAACTTGTCGAGGATCTCGTGGGCGGTCATGTTCTCGGCGATGTGGACCTCGACGCGGCTGACGAGGTATGAGCAGAGGGAGCACTCAGTGTCTCCGCCGACCTTCTTGGCGACGACGACGGCGGCTGGCTTCTTGGACTCCTTCTTGACGACGGTGGCGGCGTCAGTGGCAGTGCACAGACCAATGTCGATGCAGATGGCAAGTGGGTTGGTCTTGTTCTCGACCGAGGCGATGATGCGTGGGGCGTAGATGTTGACCAGATCGTCACAGATGATCTTGATGTCACCGAGGGCAGCGCAGTAGCTGTAGAGGTCGCTCTCGATGGTGGCCTGGGTGAGGTTGCCCTCGACGCCAGCCTCAACAATGCCGACCATGTGGTTGCAGAGGGTGCACTTGATCTCACCCTTGAGCTTGCGAGCCTCCTTGGAGAGCTTGGCAGAGGCGGCGGCAGCGATGTTGGCGGTCATGGTAGCGTTGCACTTTCCGAGGTCGATGCAGATAGCTGTTGGGCTCTCCTTCTGGATGACCTTGTTGATGATGGAGGGTCCCTCAGCCTCGACGGCCAGCTTGCACTCGAGGGCAGCGTGGCCCAACAGAGAGCAGTCGTGGACGAGGTTCTTGATAATCTCCTTCTCAGTCAAATTGCCGGCAACGTAGTGCTCGACCTTTCCAACCAAGTATGAGCAGATGGCACAGTCAGCGCCTTGAATTGGAATGTCCTCAACAACATTCTTTGAGCTGTTGGCAGCGGTGGCCATAAAGGCCAACATGGCAACGATCAACACTATTTGAATGGTTCTCATTGTGTATATATTATATATTATAATTATCTGTTTATGTATGAGTAGATAATTGATTGAATTGGAATTGAGTCACCCAAAATGCTTTGATCTAATGTAGAGTGCATGTGGGTGAGGTCCACCTGCGAGGCGCAAAGCACCTTCGGCATTTGAGTGAATCAGTGTGTCATCGCAAACACCACCCTTCCACACAAAAAAATAAAAAAATAATATAAAATAAATAAATCTAATTAGTGATCCAAACTCTCACACTAATCAATGAGATATTTTTAAAAGTTCAACAATATCCTTGTTATGGGCACAGGATACCTTCCGCCCACCAATTGTGAATGCTCCCCAATCTACTCATTACATCGACTTTTCACTTTCACATTCAATCATTCATTCATCACTCCCTATCTCTTTTTTTCGACCATCAACGCTCACATTGTCGCGCTGGTCGATCTCTTAGTTTTGGTCACATGTGAGTGAGGTGTTGATCAAATCTTATCAAGAAAATTCGTTCAATGTAGCCTGGGGATGGGCAGATTAATACTCGTGGTCGTGTTCGTGTTCGTCGTTGTTGTACAGATAACAAGATAGATAGATTACATATGAATGAATGAATGAATGAATGGGAATGAATGAATGAATGGAAGGTTGGTTGTCAGGAGACATGCAAATTTGATGTTGTTGTCGAGAGGTAATGATTGCTGGTATTTGATTTACTACGGAAAACGAGAAAGTAAAGAGTTACTCGTCGTTTAGTGCATGGCACGATATTATGCGATTCGAACAGCCATCATTGTTTATTCAACACCACATCTTCATTGCTTGGTGTATTTGTTGGTTGTCTTGTTCCCAAATGAATGAAAATGTGTGATGTTTGGTTAGTGTGTGTTGTGATATGGCTGGGTCTCCACTGTGTGCTAGTTTGTTAACCTTGGTAGTTTCAACTAATTAGTTGATTGGACTCTTCAATTAATTGAATAAGGTACACACACACACACACACACACACACACACACACACAACCTTTTCATTGGTAACAAAGGGTCCTTGAAGGAGTTAGGGTTGATAGATGGGGGTGTGTGTTTAGGAGATAACAACAACAAGTGTGATAGTATGATAGAGATAGAACTAAGACCCTACCAAGTGATTAATAGATTGAATTGATAGATAGTATTATTACCCCAATGGTGTTATAATAATATAAGTAATAACAATCAATAATAATAATAACAAACGTCAAACAACAATAACAACTTCATTCAAACAATCTTGAAATCCAATCATTCGATCAAATAAATAAATAAATATTCAATAATTATTATTAAATTATCAATCAGTTGACACAATCAATCATTCAATCAATTAACCAATCAACTAAATTGTATACATATAATAATAATTATTAAGAGAGAGACATGTCTGATAGAGAATGGGAAAGAGTACAGGAGATGGCCTTCACATCATGGGTCAATTCAGTATTGGATAAACGTGGAAATGTTCAAAAGATTAAGGATGTATCAGTTGACCTGAGTAATGGAGTGAGGTTAATCTATTTCCTTGAGAGTGTCTCTGGAAAGAGATTCCCAAAGAAGTTTGACCTCGACCCCAAGACTAGAATCCTCTGTGTCCAAAACCTCCATCTTGCCATGCTCTTTGTCGATCATGACCTTGGTGTCAAGATACATGGTGTCGCTGCCGAGGGTATGTCAATCACTCATCATGATCACTCTTGGAATGATTCCAATCACTGATCAAAAACTAACCCAAACTCAATCACTCAATCAATCAATCAAAAATGATCAGAGTTTGTTGACAATAACAAGAAGATGATTCTTGGATTCCTCTGGACATTGTACAGGAAGTACCGTATCCAGGTGATTAGTGAGGGTGACAAGAGTTCCGAGGAAGGTTTGTTGGCTTGGGTGAAGAAGACAACGGATGGATACGCCGGTGTCAACATCACAAACTTCAAAGCAAGCTTCAAAGATGGTTGCGCATACCTTGCCCTCACGCACAAGTACGATCCATCGCTGTTCCAATACCAGGACTACCAGGGCAAGGACCAGATCGAGCGTTTGAACGCCGCCTTTGACTTTGCCGAGAAACACTTGGGCATCCCCCGTCTTCTCGAAGCCGAAGCCCTGTCCAAGGGCCAGTGTGACGAGCGCTCCATCGTCCTGTACACCTCGCTCTTCTTCCACGCGTTCCGCGCCAAGGAGGAGCGCGACGCCGCCGCCGCCAACCAGAACGCCCTCGCCAACAAGCTCGCCGCACTCGAGAAGTCACTGGCTGGCGAGAAGATGTCCCACGAGGAGCTCATGCGACAGAAGAAGGAGCTTGAGGACGCGCTCAATCAGATCCGCAGGAAGAATGATGAGCGCAACCAACGCATCGCCGACGTGCAGTCCAAGATCGACGACACACTGCGCTGCATCGACGATGAGCGCATGGCCAAGATCGACCTGGAGGCGCGCATCAGTCGCACGGAGAAGGAGAAGGCCATCCTTGAGCTCAAGCTGGCCGAGACGCTGGACGAGAACGAGCATCTGCGCAACAAGTTGGCCGAGGACAAGAAGCGTGCCGAGGCCGAGCAGGCGGGTCTGGCACTGCTGCGCTCACACATTGGATTCGAGATCACAGATATTGCCAAGTGGCAATCGTTCATGGACGAGCCCGATGTCGTGCCCTACACCAAGGCGGCTGTCAACCTCAATCCTGAGCTGCAGTCCCTATCCTACGTGGAGCAGGCCAAGCGACTTGGATCGCGTGTGGACTCTGAGAACAAAGGTCTCGAGCAATATCTCAAGAAGAAGGAGGATGATCTCAAGAATGCCAATGCTCCAAAGAAGCGTGTCAAGTGAGTTGGCACATCCAAAGTGATTGATTGATTGATGGAATAGTTCCAGTGATTGATCGATTGATTGATTGATCGAGTGTGTGTGAGCGAGCGATCGATCGAAAGACTAGTGTCCCATCCCATTATTATTGTTGTAAATAAAGTATCACCCATCATCATGATCAATCAGCGCTTTGTTCCCTCCATTTATTTGAATTCGAATTTGAAATTATCAACTGTTTTGTGACCGTTTGAAAATCAGTGTGAGTTGATTTGATGTGATATGAGTGAGGAGCAAAGGATCAAGAGAATGATTTGATGGTCGATCAAATCAACATCACTTTGTCACTCCACTTCATATACACACAATAACACCAACAACAACACAATGGACTTCCATGGTGCAGCATCAGTTGGATCGTCGCCTCCCTTTTACTCTCATGCACAACTCAACAACAACAACAACTATAATGCCAACATGTTCAGCAATAGCAGTATGGCATCGTCCAACTCCATCTCTCCACCTTTGATAAGGAATCATTCCAATGGTGTTGGATCACCTTGTTCCAGCCAAAACACATCGCCTTCGCCATCACGACCCCTGTCGCCAATGGCCATGTCGCCACCTCGCAACAACAACATTCAAATGTCATCCAGTCTACCAATCAGTATAGCCTTGGGCTCAATGCTAATGAGCACGCCAATGACCACTCCCGTATCCTTTGGCCATCAACACACAGACAACCAACATCATCATCAATCAATCTTTATAATGCCACAGCAGCAGCAACCACAACAACAGACTAGTCTTTTGATGCCTCCACCTATGATGGGAGGCGGTGCATTTATGGGTCCACCAATGTCTGGCTGCAATGCAAAGGGCTCTCGTACATCACAGATGGCCCCACCATCAATAGCATCATCGCTAAGCTCATCACAGCAACAACAACTACAATATCAACAACAACAAAGACATAGTAGACAGGTCGTGCGTCGCTCGGTGCGCCTGGAAGAGTCGGATGGACTGACCGTCAGCCAGAAGTGTCGCGACGAGCGCAAGTCCGCCACGCTGTCCAGACAGGCCAGCAAGCGTGACATGGCCATCTTTGAAGCCAGGCGAAAGTCGGACCGAGTAGAGTACAACACGATCAATGAGGGCGATCTCAAGAAGAGTCTGGACGAGAACAACAAGAAGCGATTGGAGGCCATTAAGGAGGTGATGACATCAGAGACCACTTATAACAATTACTTGAACACGATTGTCGATGTGTACTTGGTGCCGCTGCGCAAGGACTATACATCGCCCGAGGAGGTCAAGTTCATCGTGTCCATCTTCTCCAACATTGAGCAGATCAGAGAGGTGAGCAAGAGTATCCTCTGTCTCTTCCAAAGTCGACTCAACAACAACATAACCAACGACACAATCGTATCCGACCTCTTCCTTCAGATTGTAAGTAGTAGCCAACAACATTGAATCATTCCAATCACTCAATCACTGACCCACTCCAACCAATCAGCTGCCATCACTAAACATATACAAGGAGTACTATGTGAACTGGTACCGCTCGCTTCACAACCTGGATCAGTGGTTGGGCAAGTGCAAGAAGCTCAAGAAGTTCATCGACGACCGATCCATGACCACACTGGACCTCAAATCCCTGATGATCATGCCCTGCCAGCGCATACCACGCTACACACTCCTCATTGATGCCGTGCTACGCTATACCAATCCCCTGCATACCGACTTCCTCAATCTCCAGAATGCCCTTGCACAAATGAAGAAGATGACCGAATCAATCAACGAACGTGTTCGTGACTCTGAAAAGACTCAACTAGTCACCAACATCCGCATGCGATTCGATGAGTCCATTGGCGTAAGTATCCATCATCCATCACTTACCCTTACCCTCGCCCTCGCCCTAACCCTTGCCCTAACCTGATGCCTTTAGTTCTTGGATGAAATGCATAGACGGTTGATCAAAGAGTCGCCAGAGTTCCAACTCTTGCCATGTAAGAATATATCTCAGATCAATGATCATTATGTTGGCGGCAGTGGCAATGGTGATGACGACGACACTGATGAGGAGGACTATTCGACGAGCGCCTCGACCACACCCAAGAAGAAGAGAGTAAAGCTCATACCAACTGCCTGCCACCTCTATCTATTCAATGACCTCTTTGTCATTGGAGTTCGCAACGTCTCCAGCTCCAACAGCCTGGCCTCTGCCTCCAACAAGTACTCTGCCGTGCTCAAGTCTTCGCTGGCCACCACCGTGTTCCGAGATTATCCAACATGTAAGTACACAACACCACTCTGTGCCGCGGGACAGACTATCGGGTCTAACTCAACTCAATCAATCAATCAATCAAACAGTGCCGCTCAAGTTCTCTGTCCATCACTCATCAGGGACATACTTTTTCAACGCGCCTTCCAAGGAGGCAAAGGAGCAGTTTGTACGCGAGTGCCACACGGCGACTGACACACTGATCAAGGAGGATGCCGAGCAGCTGGAGAGAAGGAAGAGGATTCGCTTCGAGGGCAACGACGAGGCGGGTTGGACCGTCTTCGATCCGGACGAGTTACCAAACAAGTTCAACCTAGCCCAAAGAGCCACGGAGGAGCTCAATCAGATACAGACGCAGATCTTCACGCCCAAGAAGAGAAAGAGTGTCTTGGGCAAGATGAGGGAGAGGACAAGATCACTGCTCACACCTAGCAAGTCCAGCAACATCAAGAGGAGTTCATCGTTTGTGCTCAACTCGCTCATGGACGATGCCGACACTGTTGGTACCATCACATCACAATGATTGATTGAATGATTGACGATGGGACTATTCCATCCCAGATTAGTTTCTTTGGAATGGATCAATACACATTAGACACGAAGTATAATGCAATACATTGTTATTTGTTGGCGTTTAGGTTCTGCATGAGGTTGATGTTGGTGAATGCATACTCGGACGAGGTCTGCAGGAGTGTTCGGTTGATGGTCGGTGTGGCGCTGCCAGCCGCACTGCTCCAGTTGGTGCTGGTCGTGCTGGTGTTTGATCCCGACGGTATGTTTGCATTGGATGGATTGATGCTGATGATGATTGGCGAGCGCTCCAATGACAGCGCCTCCAAGGCTCGCGATTGCACTGGCTGATTGAACTTGCCCGCGTCAAACTGCAGCTTGATCTCCTCGATCTTCTTCTTCTTGTCCTTCTCCTTCTCCTTGCCAGTGCCACTCGATTGCGAGCCGCTGGTGAGGATGCTGGACAGTGCGATTGGGAACTGGCCCGCCGCCGGTGTGATCGAACCCGGTGTCGCGGGCATCGCCGAGGGCGCCAGTGAGGGAGTCTTGGGTGCGTGAAGTTGTGACAGCGATGCGCCTGTGGCCACCAGGCCGGGTGCTCCGGCGTGGGGCTGTATCGGCGCCACAGCATTGATTAGCTGTGAATTCAATGTTGTTGTTGGGATGCTTGATGAGGCTATTGGTACAGTGTTGTTGCCTGCGGCGCCAATGTGGCCGGCGGCCTGGCCAAGCTGTGTGTGATGTTGGTGGTGCAGTGGCGCAGCCTGCCCACTCAACGAGGCGGGCGTCTGCTGCTGATGATGATGCTGCTGCTGCTGCTGTAGTTGTTGCTGATGCGACTGTGTGTTTGGCGAGACCAGACGCAGCTTGAGCGTTGGATGCTTGACCATGCGCACGCCTTGCCACAGCCAGGTGGGGATGATCAATGGCACGTCGATCTCGGCCTTGAAGGTCTCGACAAACTCCGACTCGGACGAAGCTATACAGCTTCCTCTAGTGAATCTCGTAAACTCTGATATAATACCCGATAAGTTCCAATTCTGCAACTTCCTCAGACACATAAATATAACGCCAGTAACATTGGCACCATCCAAACAATGACAGTATAATGGCAAGTTTGCAGGATCTATCATCATCTGTTTTGTTTGTTTGTTTGTTGTTGCTAGGAGTCAGAATACATGTGTGCTTGTGTATCTGTGTCTTTGTAGTGTACACTAACTAACATACCTCTAACAACTGTACTACTTGTGCTGCTGATATTGTAACATCATCCTTGAACTTTGACACGGCAAAGTGACGACTGTTGATGTTATATCTCTCACAGAAGTTAACAAATGGTTTCAAGGGAGGCTTTGGTGTTAATGATACTATAGTCTTGAGTTTCAGTCTGATTGAGCGATACATTAGTGATCAAAGTTGATTGATTGATTGGATGAATGATGGCTCGTACCTCTTCAAGAACCTTAAGTTCTTCTCTGTTGGATATGAACCTCTATAAAGGCTCTCCTCTGCTATTGAGAACCTGAATGGTGGTATCAACTGATTGTTACTGTTGTTCATGTATATGTATATATGTAGAGATAGAGATAGAGATAGTGATTGATTGAATGATTGGATGAATGAGGCTTGTGAACAAGGTTGAGTGGGTGACAATGAAATTTCATCCGATTTTCAGTTGAGTGGGTTACCAAACCTTTGAGCGTGCGACTTCTGGGTCTCGTTTTCACGACTCGCCCGAGCTCAGATCATTCTCTCTGACTTTGCATCAACAACACACAATAATATTTTTATTTGTTATTAACAACTCATCACTCACCTCTTACACATATATACATATACATACATATACAACCTTACACATATATATATTATAATTATATATACACATAAATAAATACATTTTCAAGATGCCACCAAAGAAGGATCAACAAAAGGAACAACAACAAAAGGAACAACAACAGAAAGAGCATCAACATCATCATTCACCTATTATTGCTATAGACTTTGGTACACATTATGCTTGTGTTGGTGTGATGAAGAATGATCGTGTGGAGATATGTCCCAATCAACAGGGTAATAGGACGACTCCGGCCGTGGTGGCCTTTGTCAACGATGACAAACTGGTCGGCGACGAAGCCAAGGGACAGATTGACAGGAACCCCCAGAACACCGTCTACGACATCAAGAAGCTGCTGGGCCGTCGCGCCGACGACGCCGCTCTGCAGGCCGACGCCAAGAAGTTGCCATTCAAGGTGGTGGGCGAGACGGACAAGGTGGCCATCGAGGTCGCCTTCAAGGGCAAGCAGGTGCAGGTCTCGCCCGTCGAGATCGCCACGCTCATCCTCCAACAGATCAAGACGACCGCAGAGAACTTTGTAGGCGTGCCCGTCAAGCGCGCCGTCATGACCGTGCCCTCAGAGTTCAATGAGGACCAGCGCAAGAGTCTCAGAGACGCCGCCACCGCTGCCGGTCTCACCGTCATCAGATTCATCAACGAGCACTCGGCAGTCGCACTCGCCTACGGTCTCGATCAAACAGTCTCTAGCGACAACAACAACACAAATGGCAGCAGCACCCCCCCAAACAACAACGTGTCATCTGGTAACCAGCGCGTGCTGGTCTTTGACTTGGGAGGCAGTGGCTTGCAGGTGTCTGTGCTGGGCGTGGTCGACGCCACCATTGAGACGCTGTCCAACGTGGACGATCATACACTGAGCGGTGAGGCGTTCGACGCCGCGCTAACCAAGCACTTTGTGGCCGAGTTCTCCAAGAAGTACCGCGGCTGCGACATCACAGAGAGCGCGCGCTCAATGTCCAAGCTAAAGAGCGCCAGTGAGAAAGCCAAGCGCAACCTGTCCAACATGCCACAGGCATCGCTCGAGCTGGACAGTCTGTACGACGGCCGCGACTTCTTCACATCCATCTCTCGTGCCAGGTTCGAGGACCTGGTCGGCGACCTGGTGCGCGGCTGCCGTCGCACAATCGAGTCGGCCCTCTCCGCCGCCAAGACATCACGCGATCAGATCGAACGCATCATCATGGTGGGCGGCGGCTCGCGTATGCCCATCGTTCAGTCGGTTATCACCGACTTCTTTGGCGCCAAGGTTGAGGTGCTCAAGAACATCTCACCAGAGGAGGTCGTCTGCTACGGCGCCACGTTGCAGGCCCACCTGATGAGTCTGCACGGCTCCTCCGTCAACGAGAAGAAGGTAGCCAACGGCGCTCCATTCTCCATGGAGGCGCTGCCCTCGAGCATCGGCGTGGAGGACGCGCTCGGTCGCTTCGTGCCCGTGCTGCCCGCCCGCACACGTCTGCCCGCCGTGCGCACACTCTCCCTGACCAATGAGCAGGACAACCAGAAACACATCCACTTGAGTCTCCATCTGCAGACCCAAGACGCCACCACTGGTGCATCCATCCCAGTTACCGATTGCACGCCACTCGCCAGATTCATCTTTGACATCGTACCAGCACCACGTGGAACCAGCAAGCTACAGATCAAGATCGAGGTGGACAACGCAGGAGTTATGGTATGTTCATTATCGTCGCGAGTGGAAATAGTATGTCTCCCGCCACACTGATCCCACTAACATCAAGTCCTCCCTTTACCTTCCACTATCGCGCACACTCACCCACACTCATCGATCAATCAATCAATCACTCAACTCTACCCAGAACATTTCGACGGCAGATCAATCCTACAAGGTTCAACTTAATAAACAGCATTAAGTATTTATTCTCGCTTAAGATAATGGTGGACCTAAGAAGGTCCCAAGGCCCATGGGTCCTTAATAGATGTAGGGACACAACTTCCATGGTACCTCCTTCTCGTACATCTCCCAGTACTTGCCGTACTTGCCACGGCATCTGGAATGGTCACGCTCGATACGATGCAGCAATAGGATGGTCATGAAGATGATGTAGAAGTATGGCAGGAGATGGCCAAAGCCACAGGTCAGACACATGGCCGAGCTGATCAACAAGTCACCAACGTAGTTAAAGTGGCGAGAGAGGCCCCAGAAGCCGGAGCAGAGCAGCAGTGAATGGTGGGTCTTGCCATCGGAGCACAGGAACTCTGTTCTGATGACTTTGGCTGGCTTGCCCCAGATCTGGCACTTTCCATTCGTCCTTCTGACAATGTCCTTCTGATGGTTTACCGAGCGGAAGATGACGTAGCCTGACAGGCCAATCACCAACACTGCCAAGAAGTATGGCATGGACAGGTCGATAGGGTTACGCACCAAGTAATGTGATTGGAGAGTGTACTAATATAGGGGTGTTGGGGGAGGAGAGGGTTAGGTGGGGCTGAGGCCGAAGGGGCTAGAATCATTCCAGAGTGTAGGGTGATGAGGTACTTACCATGAAGGGCAACCAAACAGAGTCTCCCCATGCTAGCATGAATCCAAAGTGATCGTGGGCAATGTCTGGATTGATTGATTGATTTAGTTAGTGAGTGAGTGATTGAATGATTCCAGTGGTCCTTAATCATTGATCAAACATACCAATGGTGCGCAAGTACCAATCCTCATTGTAGAAGAAGTCTAGAACGTAGGTGGCATGGAGGATGTTCAACAGGATCATGGAGTTGGTGATGTAGCCAACTTGTTGGTATTGTGCTGCGGCAAAGGACATGTCGATGAGGGTCCAAGCAACGATTCCTGGACGACCATTGTGGAACAACTTGAAGTCAAAGTACTTGCCAAAGCGTGGGTTGAACTCAACACCCAACACAATGTCGTAGATGATCGAGCCGGAGAACTTGCGGTCCTCAGGATGCGATGGGAACACCAGCGCCTTGAAGTAGCTGAAGAAAGTCAGGAAGTAGCCATAGAGGTTGGCAATCACCAGCAGACCACCCCAGTTGTCGTGGGCGATCGCCAGACTCCACAGGCCAAGGTATCCACCGACAAAGTACAGTACATGGCTGACAACCCATGCCAACAATCCGTTGACTTTGTAGGGTAGAGTGTAGCCGGCTGGTGTCTGCTGGCCATAACCAATGGTGGCTGGCAAGAATGTGTAGAGCACGGCTTGGAACAGCAGCCAGATGATATAGATCTTGGCGGCGTGCATAGAGAACACTGGCAACTCGCGAATTGTCCAATCAATCAGATGTGTCAAGGACAGATCGTTGTTGAACCATTCAAACAATGGTGCAGACAATGAACATTGGTAAGAGTTACATGCAATATAAAAGTATATCACAAGCAAAGGAGTGCACAGCATCATCAGAAATGATCCAATCACTGTTCCAGTTCCAACATCTAATGGGTGGAAGTATGTGTGTCAGTATGATTGATTGATTGATTGATAGGTTTGGAATGATTCCAAGTATGACCGTATGATTGATTGAGTGAGTGAAGCGAGTGAAGTGATTGGATCAGTGGAATAGTTCCAAGTTTGAGTGAGTGTGATTGATTGATGGTATCTTTCTAAGATGATATCAGTGATTGATTGAATGAATGAATGGAAGTGATGAGTGAGTGATTGATCGAGAGTGACATACCTTTGTTCCTTCCCCAGACCTTTGGTCCACTTTGGAACTGTTGCTTTGGTGTGGTCTGATTACTACTGCTGCTAGTCATACTTGAGGCTGCCTGATCAGGTGCCATTGACTTGGTGGGTCTTCTATCCACTGCCATTTTATATCTTTATTTATCTCTCTCTCACTCACAAAACAAACTAATAATAAAGAATATGAATGAATGACTGATTGATGGATAATATAATGTTAAGTTGAAGATGAAGAAGTACCAGGCAGGATGTAAGTCAGTCAATCAGAGTTGGCATCATGTCTACAACGTATGATGAATGCAAGGAGGCAGATGGGATGATGGGGTAACTCAGTCTAACTTACCTCTCTCTCTCTCTCCGTCCATCTCTTCCAAGGTTGTACAGTACCTGTTAAATTTCACCAATCCCAATCCAATAAATATCCACACACTGATGCTGGTCTCTGATTACTTTTTGCCCCTTAACTTCATGATCAAAAGACCCGAAAGTACACCCTTGCTTCAATGTTTCATAATAATGGAGTGCACCCTAAATGCTCACATTGGTTTCATAAAGATCGGGCGGTCGTCGATCGACGAGGAGTGGATGGACTTTCTCGGCATTACACTTTCGATTAGTACTTGGTTTCTCCAGTCAGTCGTCTAGATTAGATAGCATTAAATATCGATCTCCGAGAGACTTGACTACGTAGTCAATCTTCATTCACTGATTCATTCACACCATTGTTGGATGGGATGTCATGGGACTCGGTAAACAATAAACTATCTCTCCACATTGCCGGCAACATGAACTTCAATGATTGGAATTCATTCTTACATGTTGGTGAATAATGGCCTGCACCATATTCAGGTCGACGATGAGAAGTGCATCATCGTGTCATTGACATGGTCATAGTTTTAGTTGTTGTGGTAGTTGTTGTCACCTTCTAGACCTGGTGTTGTCAAGATACTGATTGTGGAGTGTAACCAACATGTAGGATTGAATGATTGGTCGAGCTTCCAAACTTGGATATTAATGTTGTTTTTGCACGACAAGTCTGATCACTGATTGAATGTGTGTTCAACATCATTCATTCTTTCATTCTTAAATTGAAGAAAAATGACTATGTATAGTAGTAATAAACATCAACTATTGTTGTTATTATTAATAGTTATACTAGTGACAGATATATGTTGTAATGAACAACAACAACAACAACAACAACACAATACAAATGATAGATCATTACTTGATCGATTACTTCTACGTGAACAATACACTGATTATAGTACCTCTAGTAGTTGGCGTTTGAGAACCAACAGACCAATCAATCTATCATGGCAATCACAAGATCATTCATAGTATGTATATATTATTTATACTTACTCAATCAAATCATAATGTTACATTACTAACATAATATCATTATGAATGGTGTAGTGATATCAACTCAATCTCAACATCAAATACAACAGAGTATATTGTGTCTTGCTCTATGGATAATACTGCAAAGTTCTATCGTGTGTTGATGTACCCTAATCTGTATCCTGATTGGACTCATCTATATTATGGAGAACTATACTTGCGTGGTCATCCATTGTCTTCACTCAATAATGGTGATGATGCCAGCGGTGATGTATACACCACTCAATGTATATTGGCACCAGGTAGTAATGGTCATGGTCAACTGGTAGTCTTGTCAGTTGCATTGGATGGCGAACAAGTTAGAAGAACATATATCGATACGTATCAGTTTGAGGAGATGTCCAAGTCTGTCTATGGCATTGATAATCGACGTCCCCTGCTGTCTACCATCCGAGGTAGTTCAATCAATAACCTCATGGACAGGACTGCATTCAAGATGGTCTACCCCCAGGACGACTACAATGAGATATGGTGGCATGCCGGAACACTAAACCAGAGCGTGCACTTCACCTCAAAGGTGATCGATCACACAAACACTCAAATGACGGATGGAGGTCTGCTGAGCAAGATGGTCGTCTCACCAGATGGAAAGACTCTTGTGTACGCCACAACTCACTCAATGTATATACAACGCATTGGCCATGAGTGGGCACACATTGTCCATGAACCAACATCAAGTTTGATCAAGGATATCACATTTACATCGTCAAGTGATCGATTCATTATCGTCTCTGCCAACGATACATCGTCCAAGCTCATGCTTTACTCGCACGTTGGCGAGGGTCAGTGGCAGTCACAGGTCATACACATGCTACAACAACCAATGTTGGTGTCTGCATATGTTGGAAGAGGAGGCTCTGGCAACGTGCCAATAATCATCTCTGTTATGGATGATAAGAATACGGCGCACATCTGCAAGATAGTTGTGACAAGTCCAACCATGGGTGCACGACTGCAAGTCCGTCAGTCATTCCCCAAGATCGATGCGGGCGATGCCGATAACACACCACTCATGCATTTCTCCTCCAGCGGACTTCTCTTTGTCGTCCAATACCCAAGTAGAAATGAGTTGATCGTGTACCGCAGGAAGGGCTACGAATTTTCATTCCACAGCGCAATTGACCTGGCGCCAGGTGAGCGCGCTCACGCCGTCGACATATTCAATTTCAGGCACTTCTACATCCTGTTGAGCACAGGTGGTCACTTGAACTTCTATCAAGAGATCGCGCCCACTGTGCCCAAGATGGAGGACGCCGCGCGCCAGAACAGCTTCTACCTCCCACCACCCCTGACACCCCTACACGCCGACCCTGCCGACCCTACCGACCCGGCCATTCTGCTCGAATTTAAAGGACTACCCTTCACTCTCAATCCGAGTGGACTGTCCCTCACCATTATGTTGCTCATTGGGGCGATACTTGTCAACATTGGCGTGGTCATCCGCCTGACACACAGTGCAGAGTCATGGCTCATCAGCAAGGCCTTGTCGCGTCTCCAGTGGCTGATGACGCCCGCCTTTTACATTGGCGTCGTGGCCATCTTTGGCCTATCACTGTTTGAAATAGTCTATCAATCGGCATTCACCAATGACTGGCCTGCGCACATCCATCACGTGGAGCAATGGCTCAATGCCCCCTCTGCCCAGAAATCCTTGGACTTTGACTACTCCCACTTCATGCACTACCACGGCCCATGTACCTACCCCGCCGGATTCATGTACCTATACACGCTGCTCTACTACATCACTGGACATGGCTCGCTCCAAGTGTTCCAGCTCGTCTGGGCAGTGATGGAGTCTGTCAACTTTGTTGTGATCAAGAAGCTGTGCGATCGACTCAACCTCCCAACCATCTTGGCCATATTACCAATAGCATCAAACAGACTACATCTATATAATGTTCGCGTTGTCATCAATGACTTCCCATCCACACTGCTACTACATGTTGCACTACTTCTCATCATTGATCGACGCTACATATCATTCTCCATCCTCTACTCATTCGTTGTATCACTCAAACTCAACTATATCTTCTATGCACCTGCCATCCTCCTCATATTCTTACGCACCATGCCACTGAACAGTGTTATAATCAACCTCTCTCTTATGGCCTTGGTCCAGGTATGTATTCCCCACTCACTCAATCACTCGATCACTGACTCACTTACCCAATCACACAATCAATCAAACATAGATAATACTCGGACTGCCATTCCTCATGGCCAACCCTGTGGCATATATATCGATCGCCTATGACTTTAGCCGAACACTGTTGTGGGAGAAGACCAGGAACTACAAGTTTGTTGGCAGGATAATGTATGACTCTGCGCCATTCAATATGATCCTAATCAGTCTCCTCGTCGGAACGATCATCATATTCTTGTTTAGGATGTGGCGAAGGATATCAACAACACATCAACAACAATCACGTGATCGAGCCATAGTGTTTGTGTTCCTGTTTGTTAACTTCCTGGCCATAACATTTGCACGTGGATTGTATACTCCATTCCTATGCTGGTACTTCTACACATTCCCGATCGTCCTATACCTGGCCAACTATCCCTATGTCCATATCATCCTGTTCTGGATCGCCCATGAGGTACTGTTCCGCTTCTTCAAGGACCTTGCCACAGAGATGTACGGCACCTACATCTACTTCCTCATCAATCTATTCGTTGTCTTCAGTGTTGTCGTCCTTGGTCGAACCAACATCATCACAACAGCACAGGAGCCGACTCCTCAGCCACAGTCGCAACAGACACAGCCACAGCGACAGCGACCGACACAAACACAGACACAAAAGAATAAGAAGAAGAATGAATAAATGATTGAATGAAAGGTAATACACATACTTTTAGTCTGTCTCGCTGAAGAGCTCACGTCCGATGAGCATTCTTCTGATCTCGCTGGTGCCGGCGCCAATCTCGTACAACTTGGCGTCACGCAACAGACGACCGGTTGGGAACTCGTTGATGTAGCCATTGCCTCCCAGAGTCTGGATGGCCTGCAGAGCGCATTGAGTTGCATTCTCGGCGGTGTACAAGATGACGGCGGCGCAGTCCTTACGCGAGGTGAGGCCCTTGTCTGCTGACTTGGCCACACTGTACACGTAAGAACGACTGGCATTCATCAATGTGTACATATCTGCGACCTTTCCTTGCATCAGCTGGAACTCTCCAATCTTCTTTCCAAACTGCTCACGCTGGTGAATGTATGGAATGACCTGATCCATGCATGATTGCATGATACTTGATAGATTGATTGGGGTTAGGTACTTGTCCTGGATCGCCATGATCACGCCACTAACTAACAACTTACCCCAATGGACCAGCAGAGAGGACCAGACGCTCGTAGTCGAGGCCACTCATGAGGACCTTGACACCCTTGCCGACTTGGTTGAGAACATTGGCATCTGGGACGAAGCAATCCTCAAAGATGAGCTCACATGTGTTGGAGCCTCTCATTCCAAGCTTGTCAAGCTTCTGTCCAGTGGTGAATCCCTTCATGCCCTTCTCGATCAAGAAGGCGGTGATACCCTTGGATCCTGCGTTGACGTCTGTCTTGGCGTAGACAACCAAAACATCAGCGTCTGGGCCATTGGTGATCCACATCTTGGTGCCATTCAAAACCCATCCGCCGTCTAGATTGTTTGATTGATAGTGAGTGATGATGAGGCTAGCAGTTAGTCGCACGAGCCATGATGTTTGATAATTGATGATGCATGCCAGTTCACTCACTCACCTGTTCTCTTGGCGTTGGTCTTCATGGAGACAACATCGGAACCTGCATTTGGCTCAGACATTGCAAGGGCACCGACAAAGTCACCAGAGATGAGCTTGGGCAGATACTTCTGCTTCTGTTGCTCGTTTCCGTTTCTGGTGATCTGGTTGACGCACAGGTTGCTGTGGGCTCCGTAGCTCAAGGCAACAGAGGCAGACGCTCTGCTCAGCTCCTCCATGGCAATGCAGTGTGCTGTGTAGCCCATGTCCAGACCACCGTACTCGGCGGGCGCAGTGATGCCAAGCAGACCGAGGTCGCCCATCTTCTTCCACATGTGCATTGGGAAGGCGTTGTTCCTGTCGACATCGGCGGCGATTGGGGCCAGCTCGTTTTGGGCGAATTGGCGCACGGTCTCCTGGAGCTGCATCTGGGATTCATCAAAGCCCATGATCTCTGGGTTGTTGAAGATGGTTCTGATGGCGGTAACGCGTCCGCCAGTGGATCCGCTGATGGCGGTCAATGGGTTGATTGACTTGATAATGATTGATCTGAACATTGTTGTTGTTGTTGTAGTACAGTTGTTTATAAATGTGTAATCAAGTGACAAGTTGAAGAATGACAATGTTAGTTGAGTGATCAGTTCGCTAGACATTGCAAAACACGAACCTTTTTGATTTTTTTTTATTGGGAGATGCAAAAGACCCTTTTTTGGGCGAAAGATTCCAATTCCCAAAGGAAATTACGGACTTTGGAGAATGCTCGAGATAGTGAGTGATTAGATTAGAATGATTTCAATCTATCGACTATTTGATTGATTGATTGATTGATGTGTGAACGACAACAAATGAATTCAAACCATGGAATCATCTAGTTTTCTAAATTCAACAATAATGGATTCCAGTCCAAACAAACCTAATTCTTATTATTAATATTTATAGTCAACAGATCCAGTTAATAAACCTTTATTACCTTGGGAAAAGACATATATGAGATGTCTCGATAAGTTTTCAGTGATCCTGGTATGTTCTCCTTCACCAGGAGCACTGTTTCATTGTCGACCTGCCTCATAAAAACACTGTAGTCCTTATTTGATTTAAGGTAGAAAAATTTAAGAGTTAGGGTTGGTGTCGATTTGAGCAAATGATGTAAAAGTCAAGTGAAATGCCCTCACTAATATCTTTGATCTTATCCTTTGTTGTGATTAGGATCACCAAATGAGTAATTGTCTTGATTGGTGAAAGGAGTGCTGCATTTTGGTCCAGGAGTTCAGATCCAGATCCTAATCCATTGAAGACGTAATGGCTAAAGGTAAGATTTGTGAGCGACCTGTGTCGTTGCAAACTGAAATTATTGCCAGAGAATCCATGGTGTGGAATAAAGAGTGAAGTAACTGAGGGAATGTATTCGGGCGTGAGCAAATTATTGAATGTAGCGCCAATTGAGTAACAGAGTTTGGAATGTGACCAACTTTGAGTGATTGATTAAAACGCTCCATTGACAAGAATACCACACCTTGAGGAAGAAGTCCAGAATCTAGTGGTTGGTTAAATGAATCCATGGCCAGATATGTCACTGATTGTGGAATGATTCCAATTTGGATGGGATGATTGAAAATATACATATCCATGTATGTCACCGAGGGTGGAATGTTTCCTATTTCAAGAGGTTGGCAAAATAACATCAAAGATAGATGTGTTATAGATTGTGGGATATCTCCCCTATGGAGAGGATGATCGAGACTATCCATGGTCAGGTGTTTCACAGATTGTGGAATTTGAAGCTGCTGTTCGTAAGAATGTAATGATAATTGTGTCACCGATCGTGGAATGTCCCCAAAATGAAGAGGTAAATTATAAGCAGACAATTCGAGATCTGTAACCGAATTGGTGATATGTCCAACTTGAAGTGGTTGCGTCCTGAATTGGGAATGTGTCCAACTTGAAGTGGTTGATTAAAAGTGCCCAAACGAAGCTGTGTTACTAATGGCGGAAGGTGACCAACTTGAAGTGGATGATTAAAGAAACCCATTGACAACTGAGTTACTGATGATGGGATATCACCGATTTGAAGTGGTTTGTCAAAAACTTGCATTTCCAGATCAGTTACTGATTGTGGAATGTGTCCAGATTGAAGAGGGTGGTTATAACTAACGAGGAATAGTTTTACAACTGATTGTGGAATATGTCCAGTTTGAAGTTGTTTGTTGTATGATTGCATTGATAAATATGTCAGTGATTGAGGTAAATCCCCAACTTGGAGTGGTTGGTTGAAATCAACCAATGAAAGATCTGTCACTGACTGCGGTATTTCCTTAACTCGAAGGTTTGGACCATCAGACCTTGAATATTTAGCACTTTAACACTTGAAGGAATGGATCCTAAATGATAAATGTCTTTGCTGCGTCCACCTTGGAGATCCAAACTCATGGTTGAATCTGGAATTGGACCATGATTTTGAAGTTGATGATCATCACTTCTATATCTGATTGTGAGGTGTATGCCTGAACAAAGACCCAGTTGATTTGACAAGGTGACAAGGACCTTGCTAAATTGATAGAGCAGTGATGGTGCGATGCTCTTTCGCAACACAAAAATGCTGCCAATATGTGACTAAGAAAGCTAGTGATAAAGCATATTGTGTCAAAGTCTGATAAGTGTTTTATCACTTTCTTTAAGAGATATATTGATATTGGCAGCATACTATATATATATATGTTTCTTACTTATTAATAAGTTAGTTGATCATGATCATCTGCCTCTTGTCAAAGAAAACAAGATTGTTTTTTTTTGTTTCAATCCGTAGTTCATGCTTATGACCTTTTATATCTCTGAATGGGATTATTCCGTCCATGAAGTTGGATTAGAGAAATTCCAATTAAAGTGACATTTCATGTTTAGACTGATTATAATATTGACTGGACCGCAGTTTATTAATTAATTAATTAATTAATTATTGAGAATAGACTTATTCTTCTTTCCAATCCTGTGACGTGCTACATTTGGATTCCTGTTGCCATAGCCAATTACGACATCGGCTGGCTTGTTGGCATAGCTGAACGATGCCTCGTACGAATCCAGATCGTTGCCAGTGCTCTCGCCAGCAGCTGCTGGTCCTCTCTTCTTGAAGTAGCGTCCGGTGACCTTTAGACGATGGATGTACTGCTCCTCGGTGAGAATCAGGTCATTGTGATGCTTGCCACCCCTGGTCTTGGGGATAGAGTATATCTTGCCACGGTTCTTGAACTGCTTGCCCGAGCCCTTGCCCACGCGCACATTACCATAGCGATCGACCCAGGTAACGGCCTTGACCATTGTCTTGTTGCCACATGAATCGCACCATATTTTCGACATGTCCAGCGTTGTAGTATGACAGGCGTGACACTTGAGCACGAACTGCATAACCTGCTCAACGATCACTCCATTGACTCCAATCAAGTTAAGTCCCATTTGCAACATTACGTTCTAAAAAGTATGTGTTTGATTGATTGATTGATTGTGTGAGTGATTGAGTGATTGAGCGAGTGATGGACATGGTACTGGATTGACTTACCTGCATGGGGAAATCCATTGTGATACAGGCCACCTTGACGTGCTTCCTTTGTTTGGACTCGTCGATGTTCTGGTATGTTGGCGCCAGGGTGTGTATGTTCTCTGGGGTGATCCACTCGCCCTCGTCCTTGGGTGCGTTGGCCTCCCTCAGTCTCTGACGCTCGGCAGCCTCCAACTCCTTCTGCTTCTTCATCTTCTCCAACACCTCCCTTGGATCTACTATTTTCGACGCATCCTCCTTTATATTATCCATGTTGACTATCAGATGGCTATTCTTCTTTCCTTTCTTCTTTGATGTTGTTGTCGTCGTGGCTGCGTCGGCAGTAGCGGTGGTGGGGGTCTCTGTAGTCTGTGTTTGGGTTGGTGTGGACTCTGTTGTTGTCTCTGTTGGTGTATGTGTCTGTGTCTGTGTTGGGGTTGATGTGGTGGCTGGGATGGGATGTGGATGATCGTGTGTGCAAGCTGCATGACCTCCATTCACTTTAGTACTCTTGTCGTCCTTCTTTTGTTGTGGCTGTTGCTTCTGCTTTGGCTGTTGTGGCTGCTTTGGCTGTTGCTGTTGCTGTTGTTGTGGCTGTTGCTTCTTGGGCCTTGGAATAAACTTTGGCTTGGTTGGCTGAAGCTCAGTCTTGATGCTCTCGAGACCCTCGCACTCAGCATGGATCATATGAGTGAGCGCCAACACCTTGAGATCGACCAATGAAAGGGATGCAAGGTCACCTGTCTTTTGAGCAAAGGCGACGACGGCCTTCATAGACTCGGGTGAAGGCTCGCGTGTCTTGATCTCGAATGGGAACGACTCGATAAAGGCCTTTGTCTTCTTGTCGGTCACCTCGTCCAAGACCTCGGGCACGGTCCACAGCTCCTTGGCCAAAGTATCGAATCGCGCCTCTGAGCGAATAAGTGCGTTGGTATCAATGATTAAGTGATTGGCTGTCATCTTGGCGTGTGACAATCCCAGTCCTGCCATTTGGTCCTCAATTCCAGTCGTTGTAGTCTTGTCCTTCTTTGAATCAGTGTTGTTGTTGGCTGATGTTGTAGATGAGGCGATCACTGGTGCAGTGGTCTGACTCGATGACGACGACGACTCACTGGAAGTAGTCTGCTGAAGGAATGACGAGAGGTTGCCCCACACTCCGGTGGGCTGAGCTGGAGTGTTGATGGCTGGAGGAGCCTTGCTACCGCCGAGTGATGGACCACTCTTGAATGGATCATCAATCTGTGATGACAATCTATTTAGTTCGTCTAATTGCTCCTCGGTCATCTCTTCATAGTTTTCGTCGTCTTCATCGTCCTCGTCGTCCTGCTCATCCTCGTCTTCGTCCTCAAAGTCATCATCGTCATGTTCCTCATCCTCATCATCGTCCTCAAACTCCTCCTCATATTCCTCGCCAAGTGCGAGTATGCTTTGATCTGGTTTCTCACTTGTCATTTCTTCTCCCTCTTTAATATTATATTATATTATATTATGTATATATATATATGTATATGTATATGTATTACTTGTATCAAGACGAATAAGTTAATTCAAAGACCTTTCGCTTCGTGTTGTTGTGAACAAAATTGTCAAATTAATTAAAGAAAATCAAAAGAATTGAAAAAACGAACGAATGATTCTTTCATTGTTTGTGTGTGCTTGATAGTTTGATTGTTTGATTGGTTGTTTGATTGAATGAATACAGGTTGATGATGGTATCATGAGAGAATGTAAACATAGCATTGATCAAACGACTGGATAACTTGAACTGGTGGCAATTCCACAGTTGTTGTCGCGATCCTGCTCATGTAAATGAATCCTTTGTCTCCCCAGGACTCGCCCCAACTATTATAGATTGAACATTAATGTTGTCGGTTAATTAATCGGATAATGGATAATGGATAATGGATACATACGAGTTCTTTACAATCCAATAATTGGTGTTTGCTTGTGGAGTTGAGTGAACCTTGATTTGGGACTTCTTGTTGGATGAGGAGACCTTGCTAGAGGGAGGCGTTCCAGATCCAAAACCAACTACCAATACTCCATGGTCCAAGTTGGTCGATGAGCATTTTGGTTCATAATAGATACCACTGGAGTACAGTTGGAATGAGTTGTGACCGGCATCAATGGCAACAGAGACTGGTCCGATGAGTGCAGCATCCTCAAGCTCAGACTCTGAACCAGAGGTGATGTTCTTGTATGATGAGATAGTGGCACCGATGTCGGAACTCTTGAACAGGCATGTCTTTCCATTCTCACCCTTGTATGGATAGGATGTCTCGGTATCTATGCCTACATTCTCAATGATGTACTCAAAGGCAAAGTCCATCAGACCTCCATTGCAGCCCATATTACCCTGTTTGGTAGAGCAATCAATCAAGTTTTGCTCAGACAAGGTTACCATGTTTCCGGTCTTGATCTGGTGAGCTCCCTCCACGGATCCAGTTGAGCTAAAGGACCAACACGATCCACACTATATTGGCAATACATGTTTAGTTAGTGGCATAGTTAAATTGAATGAGTGAGTGAGGACGAGATACATACCTGGCCTTGGTCCTTGATGTGGGATACAGCTCCCTTGGCTCTCCAGTCGATCGAGTCAACTTGTGGTGCGCCAGACATGATGTGGGTGCCGGGGACGCCGAGGACACCGTTGACATGAGTGCCGAGGTAGAGTCTGCGGTACTCGCTGTTGGTGAGATCGGCAAGATGGTTGAGCTCAAGGACTGTGTCAGAGTTCTTCTTGTTCCAATTGGTAACGTAGTCCATGTTGGTCTTGAATATGGCGAATCTTTGGACAAACTCAAACGAGTCGTACTTCTTCTCGAATCTCTCGAGCCATTTGGAGAACTCCTCTTGGTACTCCTTCTCATTGAATAACATACGAACGAAGTTGTTGTTGGCATTGTTGGTATTGACTTTGGTATTTGGTTTCTTGGCGGCCGTCATCATGGCCATCGCCAACAACATAAATAATAATAATAATATAATTGAGCGGTTCATATTATATAATTTAGTAATAATAATTGAGAAAGAGATAAATAATAATAATAATAATATGTGATTTATACAGATAATATTGTGATTGATATTAAAAATATATAACAAAGTATTTGAAGTTGAATTAATGAATGAATTAATTGCAATGTTCAAACATCCAAGGTAATAATAACATCATCAATCATACATGTTGACATTAATATAATATTTATTTAATAGTCATGGTGTTAGTGTGTATATGTGTGCTGACAACCTAATATATACATAATGAACTGTCGTTGGAACTTTCGAGTCATACCACCCACAGTCAATCAATCAATCAATCAAATTGGTTGGTCTGTGGTGGGTGTTTATATGTGTGTTGTGACCATGTTTACTCACTCATCACACACAATTCAAACATGAAATATATATATATTTATGAAGGTGTGAAAGTATCGAGTTTGTTGATTCTCTATCTCTTCCTCGTGGTCATGACGACGATGTATGTGTTTATATGTGTCTTGTGGAGATGAATACACAGAACGGATGAGGATGGATAGATGGATGTTACCATTTTCCAAATGGGCCAAAGGTCTCTCAAACAGTGTCGACCAGGACAAGTCGTCCAACATCTCTGCTCCTTGCGAGAGATCAACTCAACAATGTTATTTATCTTCTTCGTATCTTTGATGATCGAATACCATTGGTAGAGAGCACGATAGACCCTTGCCCTAGCCAGCCAATGTCGTTTATGATGATGATGTTGTTGACAACAATCAATGTACAAAATTAATTTATTATAGAGTGAATGAATGAATGACAATGGACCAACAACCCAACCCAAGGGAGAGAAAGAGAGAGAAACTGGTGGCTTCTTTTGGAAACCCATTCACCCATTAAAAATAATTATTAATATTTGTTGTGATGGGTGGGTTTGATAGGTCTGACGGGGTGCAAAGATCTTTAATAAATGTTTGAAATGCAAGGCATTTTTGGTGATGGTGTTAGTGGTGTGGGGTGGAGAGATGGTGAAATGAATGAAAGGTGCACCTTCATTCTTGCCTTCAAGTCTTGGCTGAATGGCTGGCTGTCAGTCCTAACCAACCTCAGCATTAATCTATCATCTCATTCATTCCATTCATTATCTAAACTATCCCTTGTAATTGTATTTGTACACTTATATATATATAAATAACTTTAACATTTAAAAACAATGTCTCAACAAACACCAACTTCCCCAAAGGTTCTCGAGGGAATCAGTACGTAGACTTTAGAATATCCGCAGTTGATTGATTGATTGATTGTTGATAGGAATATAGACTAAATGAATGAATGAATGAATGATTGGACTAACATTATATCTTGTTTGTTTCATAAATTATAGCCGTCGGCAAGAAGGGAGGCGCTTCCTTCACTGAGAAGCTCGCCCCAGACGCATTGAAGTTCTTCAATGAGGTTGCTGCCCAATCATTCTCCCAACAGGCTGTTGCTTTCTTGAACGCCTACTGGGTTGAGCTCAGCACCGAGGCTGAGTTCATCTACGCGTAAGTATCAATTGGAATGAATGAATGAATGGATGTTCGAATTGATGGAAGGAAGTAATATTCTAACTCTTTATAATTGTAATATTATAGTGTCGCTTGGGACATCATCAAATACGCTGACATGCACTGCAAGGGTGTCCAGTTGGTCTACAAGTACGATGAGGGTAACGACCTCGACTTTGACATTGCTCTCTACTTCTATGAGCAGTTGTGCAAGTTCTGTGAGGACCCAAAGAACTCCCAATACCAGCAGTACAAGCAGTCACTCCCAGTGATGATGACTGCCCTCAAGAGAAAGCAGGAGTTGAGAGAGAAGGTCGACGTCAACTTTGACGGTCGTGTCTCCTTCTTGGAGTACTTGCTCTACCAATACCAGGACAAGGCTAACCCAGCCGACTTCTGCACCCGTTCGATGGGTCACGACGAGCATCCAGAGATCAAGAAGGCCCGTCTTGCCCTCGAGGAGGTCAACAAGCGTATCCGTGCCTACGAGGAGGAGAAAGCCCGTTTGACCGCTGAGTCCCAGCTCAACGGAGGCCAGGGTGTCAAGGCCCTCGGTGCCAAGAACATGTTGGCCCAGATCGACGCCGGTCCCCTCAAGGAGGAGCTCAACAAGGCTCTCATCACCGCCGAGGCTGCCGTCCGTATTGCTTGCAAGAAGTACGGAGGTCAGTCCTTCGTCCCAGGTCAGGCTGGTGGTCACTCTTCCGAGGGTGCCCTCTGGTGGTTGAACCGTGACCTTGAGGAGAAGAAGAGAAGATACGGACCAAAGGCCAAGTAAACACATGTGCCCTAACGGCTCACTATCCATCATCCCCCTTTAAATATCCATATCGTTGTTGTCTTCTTATTCGTTCATTGATAAATTGATTGACCAATACTAATTGATTGATTGATACTGATGTCTTGGATGTTTATTCCCAACCATCGTCATTATCATTCCAAACAATGGATGACTTGGCTGGCGATACTAACTTCATTGCTGGCGCTGCTGGTTGTTCATCCTCCTCTTCCTGTTGCTCGTTATTGTCTTCTTCATCATCGCCACCTTCAATCACAATGTCATCGTCGCCCCAGTCACCTGCAGGCATGTCCATTCCACTTGTTGCTGTTGACTGCTCGATTGTGAACCTTGTGTTCAAAGCTGGCTCGGCTGGCTTTATCTTGTTTGATTCTGTTGTCGTCGTTGTCGTTGTTGTAGTGGTAGGCGTTGTCTTTGGTATAGCAGTTGCCGATGCTTTAAATACAGGTGGTGGCTTCTTGTCTGTAGATTGTAAGTTAGAAACCATTTGGGATGCGCATCCAATGTCGACAACTGATGTATCACATACCTCCCAACTTCATTGGTTCCTTTGCCGGTTTGCTTAATGGTACATTTGTCAGATCGACACTTGGGGTATGTTGTTGCTCTGTTGTCTGACTATCCTTTGGTATGCCACTATTTCCAGTTCCCTTCTTATTGTTACTGTTGTTGTTGACATTAACATTCCTTTTATTCTTGTTGTTGGTGTTTGATTCCTCCTCGTCCTCATCCTCATCAATATCATCTATATCCTCATCATCTATCTTTATAACCTTTCTCTCTATTTGAACCTTTGTTGTAGATGTGGCTGTAGCTAAGGGCTTGTTTAATACAGCACCAATATCAACCTTTGGTCTATCTACACTATGTTCTATTGGTGCTGGTTTATAAGTTGATACTGGATTATCTGTTTGTATCTCATCGTCTGGACGATCAGGAGCACAACTACTGAATATTATACCCATTGTATATGTATGTAAGTATATATATTATATGTATGTATGAATGAAAGGAATTGACAAATGACACATTTGTCTCAACTTCACTTCATTTGTTTGTTCCCTCACCACATACACGAACACACACACATCTACAACAACGACTACTTGTTATTCATTCAATCTTCTATCATTCACTCATTATAATGTCCACTACTGTACCAGTCAAGAAGAGTGTACTCTTTGTATGCTTAGGAAATATTTGTAGGTCTCCAATGGCAGGTTTGTATACACTCACTCCACCTTACTCGCAAGCGAGTCCCCTTAGTCCTACCTTAAGTACTAATGAATGAGAGAATGAATGAATGAATGTATGAATGTAATACATAAAAGAGATTGTATTCAGAGCATTGGTCGCAGAACGCGACTTGTTGGATCATTGGCATATTGATTCGGCTGGAACATCAGCTTATCACATTGGTGAAGCACCTGATGAGAGGAGTGTGGAGACTTGTAGTACATTGATGTCGTCTACAGTGTCAAAGAAGGCACACGATCATTTCAAGTCGTTGAAACTGCATCGTGCCAGACAGTTGGTGACCGAGGACTTTAGCACATTCGACTATATCTTTGCGATGGACGGCAATAACCTGACCAACATCAAGCGTCTCAATGAGAGGTCCCACCATCAGAAGCATGGCTTTCCCAGCAAATCCGTCATAAAGCGCATTGGAGAATACCATCCGGAGGAACGATACCTCAACGTTGAAGACCCTTACTATGGCGACATGTCTGGATTCAAGGTCAACTACCAGCAACTACTCATTTCATGTACCAGATTCCTGGACGAGGTCCAATCCTCCTCCTCCTCCTAGACAGGAGTAAAGTAAATCAGTTCTTCTTCCTCGACCCGACAATCGTTTAAACTGTGAACATTCAAAGATCTTAAATAATCTGCTTAGTGACGTTTCGCGAACCGTTTTGGGCAAGAAAGCAGGTTGATCTTACGCCTGATCAATCCATCTTGATGATTCATACACCTACAAGTCCAATGCGTTCCAATGCGTGTGTGTGCGAGTGTGGGTGCGCATCAGTAGGAGGGAGAGAAGTTGAGATTGAATCAGTTCAATGAACAAAAGTGGGTGAATACTAAGATTGGCCCCAGGGCCTCGTGTGTGTTTACGGGTGACCTCGACGTGATCAATGTGTTTCCACATCTCCACATCCTCTTCATCCCAATCCAAATCAACTCCATCAACCAATCATTCAATCAATCAATCAATTCCTAACTCAATCAAACAATCAATCACAAATAGATAACTTAAAAGATGGAGAAATTTCCATTCCTTGTATTACAAAGGATTGTAGAATATGTTGATGATAATATTGATAAAGTATGTCTATCATTGACATGTCGTCAATTGTTTTCCATCAAACAACATTATATAAGATCGATCAAGAATCCAACACATAGCACAAGGATGGCGCTGCCACGTCCAAACAGATCAATCACCATACCAGCATTTAATTACTTGCCACCAATAACAGACAATCAACGATCTGTCGCCAAGACATTGTTTGTCAACGTCGCCAAGAAGCGCCAGGCATCAGTGGCACGCTTCTTATTCATTGATCGTGCGTACTTCCCGCAAGGCACTGGTTTGCTGCGACCTGGATTGATCCCAGATCACTATAAAGAAGTGGTATTTGGATATGGATTCAATCGCCCTCTCATTGATGGACTGCTTCCCGCTGGTCTGATCAAACTGACGTTTGGAGAGACATTCAACAAGGAGTTGGTAGCGAGTCACCTACCGAGGGGACTTCAGAAGATTGACATGGGCAACAACTTCAATCAAGTCTTGCACCCTGGGGTCCTACCACCAGCCCTCACCAAGCTGAGCTTTGGACGACACTTTAACAAACAATTGCTAATCGGATCATTGCCCCTCTCGCTCAACAAGCTTACCTTTGGATGGTACTTCAATCAACAGTTGGAGATGGGCGTGCTACCTGCTAGACTCAGAGTGGTGACCTTTGGCAAGAACTTCAATCAGCCAATAGTGCCACTGGTGTTCCCATCATCACTTACCAAACTCACGTTTGGATACTCCTTCAACTTCCAGATCACGCCCATGTCTTTACCTCCCGCTATCACTCATTTATCTTTCGGAAGATTGTTCCAACAGACGATCACGCCTGGCACTCTTCCCTCTGCTCTCTCCCAGCTCACATTGGACTATCTCTATTCACAGCGTATATATGATGTTCCGGCCAAGCTCACCTGCCTCAACATCACGATAGAACATTGTTACGCGTCTTTCATCAAACATTACAATATGCCATATCACCCATTAATACCTGCATATCGACTTGTACATCGTGCTGGTGGGCATATCAATGTTAGGATGGTGTCCAGTGACTACTGTCTAGTTGTGGATCAGAACTTTGAAGGAGGATTTCACAGGAAGGACATGTTGCCTTTGAACAAACATCTCAACAACAATACACTGGCTGCAGCATGTGCCACTTCAACAATCAACAAAAATCAAAGACGAGGTCCACTCATCACATTATCCATCAAAAAGAAGAAGAAGAAGACGACCAATACTGGACAAAAGTTGAAGAAACCTTTATTAATTATTAGAGTAGGTATTCATTGATTGATTGGATTGATATGGATACTCAAACTAATTAATTAATTAACATCAATTTACAACATAGTTGTTTAGAAGATTGGTAAAGTGATAGTTTTGATTGGTCTTTCGATTGATTGATTGGAAGAATGGATATGGATACTCAAACGAATAATTAATAATAATTTATTAACATTATAATTTACAAATGTTCATAAGATTGGTAAAGTGATCGTTTGATAGAATGATCCACGTAAGAATTAATTGATCAATTCAATTCAAAATACCTCCAACACCCTACCCTAGCCAAACAACACATAACCTTGTAAATATAAGCTTGTAAATAATTATCTCATCACCTTCCAAACTTAAACAAAAGTATCTTTATGTTAGTTAGATAGTTAGTCAGTTATTAATAATCAAATAACAACATCATAATTAGATTCCATTTCTAATTTCGATTACTCGAGTATATGGATGCCATCAATACATTCCATTTTGATGTTTCCCCTACACGTACTTATTATTATTATCAATATGACCAATCGAATCGGAGTGGGTGATGGTTCAAACGATCGTTTGACCTTTCATATTGGGGGTCCAAGGAAGAGGGCGACTACTTCTTTGACGTCAAAAAAGAATGAGGTGATGTCAACTACTCTATCATTGAAACGAAAATATCTCTCCGACTTGTGGGGGGATGGGGATGGAGATTGGGATGCACGATAGTCATTTTAAATGAGAAGAGGTTACCTATCATTCAAACGAACATATATTACAAGCATAACAAATATATACATAACATGGAGGATAAGGTTTGCATTATTACTGGTACGTGAATAATGTGAATGAGTTCAGTGACCAACTGACTGACTGACTGACTGACTGAACACACATATGATACATTTATGCACAGGATCTAATGAGGGCATTGGAAAGGAGACTGCCAAGCGCATGGCCAGTCACATGATGCGTGTTATTATGGCATGTAGAAACATGGAGAAGTGTGAAGCCGCTGCAAAAGAGCTAAGAGCAGAGACAAAGAATGACAAGATACAATGCATGCAACTTGATCTCAACTCATTCACTGTATGTAATGTTGTTATGTGATTGAATGTGATGATCTGACACACATACACACGTATAGTCAATCAGACAATTCGTACAGAACTTCAAGGATATGAACTTGCCATTGAACTACTTGATCAATAATGCTGGAAAGTATGGTGGACCACATGCACTCACTGAGGATGGCTTTGAATCACAGGTTGGAGTCAATCACTTTGGACCATTCATGTTGACCAACTTGTTGCTGAGCAAGTTGGAGGCAAGCGAGAACCCAAGAATCGTCGTCTTATCATCTCGCGCACACTTCCGCGCCAAACTCGACTTTGACAATCTGTCGGTCGATCCAAAGAACTACTGGGCCAACTCTGTCTACGCCCAATCCAAGCTGTGCAATCTGCTCTTTACATATGAGCTGCAGCGACGTCTGGACGAGCGCGGATCCAAGATCGTCGTCAACGCACTGCACCCTGGTGTGGTCCACACCAACCTGTTCCAGGGCATGACCGTCCTCAACAAGTTAGTCTTCCCATTGGTCTCATTCCTGTTGACCAAGGTGACCGAGAGTGGAGAGGCTTCCGAGGCTCTAGCCCTGGGCACTGCGCTACACCTGCAGGGCGTCAAGGCCAAGTACTTCAATGTGAAGTTTTCTTCTTGTTATTTGCTTCATCTGGTGACGTTGATGATGATGACGACGGCTGTCCAGTGGTACCACCATTGTGATGTTCCAACATATCGACGACCCAGCAACCATTTGGATTCAACTCATACTTGCTTTTGAACACTGCATACTCTTCAAAGTATAGTTCACCTGGGAACACCTCTGTCTGTATCTCATAAATAGTTTGTATATCATCCAAACACATTGGTCTTACTAATAGCTCAATCTTTTCCATCTTCTATATATATGTCTCTATCTGTTTGTGAAATGAATGAATGAATAAATGAATGGTTGAGTAATGTTGTTGCCAAGATGAGTTGGAAACGAGTGGGTCCTCGATTTGGAACCATTTTTGGTCCCGATCTTGTCCAGCCAGATGTCCATGATTGATCAATTGGTATGTATTCATAAACAAAAAGTATACTTATATTTCCCAAAAATAATAATAAGATATATCTGTTTAAAGCATGATCTAAAGCCCCAAAGTTAGGGTTACAATCTTATCACTTGTTTCGGTTTGATTATGTTCGACAGAAATGTGCTGTTTTCAGTGAATAATGCAAATCTCAATTAAATAAAAGTCGTCAACATTTTCGATTCTCTTGGTGTTGTGAACCTTGTGCACAAGAGGCGCAAAGTATGTTGTGTTTTGTGAGGGAAGCAGTGAAGTGAAGGAAGTATTATTATTATTTTTAGAGATAACTATATATTCAGATAATAGATCATCATCATTAAACAACTGGACCCCAGGTAGATGTCATATTTTTAGGATTTATTTATAATTTGATTAATTTTGAATTTTGTGTCAAGGTTGATGATATATGTGATTACATCAAAGATATCTCGGTGCTGGTCCACTGTTCCTCGGAATTGTCTATTCAATGCATTGAATAGTTTGTAGCTACTGAATATATTCTCGATGATGAATCGAATAGACTGAACCCAGTCATTGTAGATCTTTTCCATTGGGGGGAGGTGAATGGCTCCTTGCTTCTTTTTGAAGGGCGTGATTAGTGTGTCAGGTTCGCCTTGGTATCCTTTGTCAGCGACTGCCCTGACCTTGTCAATTGCCATCAATTCTTGCTTAAGCCCTTGTCTGTAAATGTCAACGTCAGCCTCGGATGCCCCATGCGGTCCGGACACCCACACAATTTCTCCAGTTCTAACTACACATGCAACTTCATACTTCACACCAAACCTCTTCTTCTCACCGTTGTAGAATCCATTGTCTTTAGTCTCCAGGTCGCAGAATGTGGAGTCGACAG